ACTAGGATCTAAAATGCCTTTATTTTCCCTGCTACGTAAACACCTCACCTTTGGAATTATGAATACCACAAACTGACATGAGGAGGGAAGGATTCTGGGGACCCCAGAAGAGTCCACTGCAGAGGAGAAAGGCAGTACTTACACCAAACATTTGTCGGAGGTCGGGATCCCGGAACCTGAAGGGGATGTTGGAGACATGCAGCCGCTTGGGCTGGGACTTGTTTTCCGTGTTTTCAGAAGGTTGTGTCTGGGGCTGGCCATCCGTGGGTGCCGCGTCATCTGTCTGCTGAAAGAACAAGAGCAAAGCAAAGAGGCTCTGAGTGGACCCGAAGGTTCGTTCCAATGTGCCTTTGCTTCCTCTAAATGGGAGGGAAATGCCAGAACAAAGGAAGAAGGACAGGAGAAAACCGCTGAGTCATTCACTCATTCACTCAACAAATATTTATTGAACATCCACTGAGTGCCCATCATGGATCCAGGATTCAGCCGTGAGCAAAGGAGCGAAGATTTTTACCATCATGGATCATAATTCCCACGGGGGAAGACAGACAACAAACTCATTAAATGAATACAGAGCTGGCAGAAGGAGATAAGGGCTGTGGGGATAAAGCCAGGGGAGGAACTCGCTGGTACTGGGGTGGGTAGGCAGGGAGTTTTAATGGGTAATTAGAGAAAACCTCATCAAGAAGAGGTTACTACTCTAAAGGTATCCTTTCATCCAGGCTGTCCAACATCTCGAGCTACGCCCACATCATTGTTGAGGCTGTAGAGATAAACTATGAGTAAGTCTCATAAAACATTGGAAAAGGCTGTTTTGTGCTCAGAAGTCTAGGTAACCATCTGATTGACTTAAATCTTTTTTGAGGTTTTCATTTTCCATTCCTTGACCGTGCAGACCTGTGCTGCTCATTACAGTTGACCCCGTGTTGCTATTTTGATTTAAATACATTGAAATTAAATCAAATACAGAATTCAGTCCTTCCCTCCCATGAGACACATTTTCACATGCTCAGTAGCCACATATGGCTAGTGGTTTGCATGTCGGACAATGCAGACATAAAACATCTATCTAGAAATTCTGTTAGCCTAAGTTGGCGTAGACAATGTTGCATTATCAGCAGAGCTCCTTAATCTGCCTCTCACTCCACTCTACCCCCAAATAAAAGCCTGGATAGCATGAGATGACATTAACACCCCTGTAG